CCCCCCCCCCCCCCCCCCCCCTTTAGGGCTTGTTTGGTTGAAGAGGAGGAAAAGGAATCTGAATCTATCCCGTCGTCTAGTTTAAAAACATGAAAGGGAGGGAACCCAAAATTTTAGTTTCAAGTCACTTCCCTCCCTTCCAAATCAATCCTACAAATCGGACGGAATCTCCTTTCCTCCTGTCATTCTCTTCTTCTTCCATCATTTTGTCTTCATCTTGACATTAAACAATAATATAAAATGAAATAAAATAAAAAAAATAATAAATTATAAATTGGAAAATAACAGAGATCATTATAAATTAACAAACAAAATTTAATACTAAAAAATATATATTAATAAAATAAATATATAATATAATAAATAATAGTAAAAATAAATAAGTAAATTTTAAAATTTTAAAAACTAAAATAAAGCTTAAAATAATAATCTAATAAAATAAACAGCAAGAAGCAATAATAATAATAAAATAAGTAAAAAGCATTATAAAATTACAAATAAGAATTAAAAATAATAAATATTGACCACTAAAATAAATAAATCAATAAAAAATAAAAAATTGAAGTAATAACAACAACAACAAGCGAGTTGGATCCCACGTTGTAATAATATATATATATATATATATATATATATATATATATATATATATATATATATATATATATAAGTAAATTTATAAAAAAAACTAAAAATAAATAATAAAATAAAAAATAGAAAAAATAAAAAAAATTAAAATTTATAAAAATAAAATAGAAAAAATGGTAGTAATTTTTAGAAAAATAGATAAGAAAATAAATTTAAAATTGAAAAATATAAAATATAAAAAATTGAAAATACAACCTTTCCTTCCCCTTCCAACCACACAAGGTGAATGGAATCTTTCACATCCCTTCCCATTCCCTCGCATTCATTCCTTCCCTTCTCCTCCCCTCCCTCCCAACCAAACAGACTCTTAAGCATTGATTTCAAAAGTGAGCAGATTCTCTTTCAATCATTAATTGAATTTCATTTTTTTTTAAGTATGAGGAAGATGTATCCATACTTTGTGCACTTTGTCGCCTAATTTCACAATGCATTCTCACACTTTCATAGTGCATCATCATATTGGAAAATCATTCTCAAACTTCTAGTTCATCATCTCTTTTAATGCATCATTCTACAAAAAAAACTCAGGCTGAATTATATTGTCACAGCTCTATATGGTCTCTCAAATAGAGAAAAGAATATTCTTTGGGTCAAATAGATTCATAACAATCATCTTAAAAATGACACCATTTGGTGGTATGAATACTAATGAAGATTTTGATATTCATAAAGAATATGACTGGTTAATGGGTCCTTGCAACACTTTTCATGCTTATCAGTTTGAGTGGAATAATCTTACTATTCCTAAACACCAATTCTTGTGATGGCTTGGTTGGAGAAATAGAATTCTCACAAAAGTTAGACTGAACAAGTTCATGGAGATTGACCTTAAATGTGTGCTTTGCTCTACTAGAGATGAAGACAAAAAACATTTATTTTACTTTTGTTCCTACACTAGGGACCTTCAAGATAGCATTGACAATTGGATTCAATATCACTAGAGGGAAACCAGTGATACAACACTGTTGGAAGAGTTCAAGCATATCAAGGGGAGGAAAAAGAGATAGATTGTGATAGCGAGATTTGCTACAATCTGTTATGCAGTTTGGAGGGCACGTAATATGAAAATAAAGCAACAAAGAGATATCTCTCCTAAACAAAGCATAGAATGGATTAAGTTCGACATGAGAGCATTTAACTAAACTATTTGGAGTTTTCTATAATTTTTGTTTGTGTATGCGTTTTATTAATCATTTGATAAACTGAAATAAGTACTCCGTATGTCATAGCTTGTTTTCTAAAATTTTAGATATAATTTTCTATGTAAGTTGTACTTTTTATTTTTACGCCAATTTGTAAATAAAATAATTTAAAAAGAAAATAAATTTTACGCGTTCAAAATAAGACTAATAATGATTGTTCTAAATAAGACAAATAATTGAGAAGGGAGGGAGTACATGAATACATTGATGGATTGTAATCAGTTTAACATTGGGTTGTGAATATGCACAAATCTTAGGGTACGTTTGGTACACGGAATTGATGAAATTGAAATTGGAATTGAAACTCTATGAAATTGAATTCAATGGAATTGAGTTCTCCAATTCCAATTCATTTTTTGCACTACCAATTCCAAATCCACATATTTTTGTGCTACCAAACACTGGAATTGGAATTGAAGTCCCTAATTCCAATTCCACGGCTTGAATTCCGTGTACCAAACGGAGCCTTAGGGTAAAATTCCACAAGAAATTATGGGGTCGATTTAGCCACGTTTCTATGAGCTCAGATGATACTACTATTGCATAGTAAAACGTAAAGCTTTCATCTGCAAAGAGTGAAAAGGCAAACTGGTATACTTTGGAGCATAAATTAGCTCAAACAAGCTCTTAAACTGTTAACCCAATAAACAAATAAATAGAACTAGGCATTGCCCACATTCCTCCATTCACTGCTACCCAAAGTCTGTGTCTTTGCCAGTGGGATCTTTGCCAGTCTGTATCAAAACAATGAAGTTTACTCCATATAGTCCCAACTGTGTCTCTTTTCATGCACAATAACCAGCTTGTAGGGTGCTTTTGGTTGGAGTGAAGGGGAGGGAAAATGATTTTGTACCGAGTCCACCCGTTTGGTTCAAAGCATTTCTTCCTTCACCCCAACCAAACAGATGCTTAGCGTAAAAGTCTTAGTCAAGAATCACGATAAATTTCAAACTCAACAATAATATATTAACAACAAAATTCAAATGAAATTATGGGGAAATTAAAAAAAGTTGAACGATTGTATCACTGCTACACTTAACAAACAGCATTAAAGAACTGCAGTCACTTGTGTGTTTGATCAGTCACCTATGCAATGCTCATATGTCTTTGCCACAAGGTGGATAAAATCGAGCCAGCAAAACACAAACTTTGTAAAAAGAGCAACAGGTTGGTTCGTTTTATAAAAAAAACACATTTTTTTTTGGCTTGTTAAAGTGAGAAAGCAGTTACGTTTATCAAATGTTATCCAAAAGAAGGTTTTAAATTTCAAAGAAAGCCAGCTAACTTATAACATAAGTGTTAATTCAGACATGAGAAGAATACCTGATCTTTAAAACCTAAAGAATCTTGCATCAAACTCCGTGAACGGCACCATGTGATGAAAAAGCCCACCGAGCTCGTATTTCACTGTCTTAGAGACCTGGGTTTGCGGATCATATACGTACATATATTATTCCACATCTAGTCCCTACAAGTAGCTTCCCCTTATCCATATGCATCAGAGGCAAACTCCAGGGGTCATTCACTATGACAAATTGCCTCACCCAAGAACTTTTGACACCATATTCCTTCATTATCCATACGTCCATCTGAACATGGACATTCGGGATATGGGACTGGGGGAAACAACTCAAACATAGGCAAGAGTCCAAAACACTCAATTCTTTCCTCTTCTTCTTGTAAGATGCGCCGACGGGCACTGGAATCTGCGAAAATTCCTCCTTCCCAAAATGAAAGGCCCTTATGTAGGTCGGACCACACCAGTGACTAGACCCATTCAGAAAGCATCCATCACCACTATTCAGGTCCCCAAAGGATGGATTGTCCACACTCCTCAATTCATGGTTGCCCAAAGTTTGTATCTTTGCCAGCACATTATTATTAGCCCCAAAGTCACAAAAAATCATGAGAACCTTGAATTGTCCTGTCACCGGGCAACACCCCAGTTTACAAATCTTTTTATAAGAACTCCAGTTCAGTTCATGCGGATTATGGACATTCACACACTGGCCAGTGAGCAAATTGCATACAAAGTATCCTCTCATCATATTTTCCAAACAAACAACCCCATTGCAATGAGACCTCGGATACTATAGCTCCAATGAGTCAACTTTTGGTTGAACCCGGATCACACTATCAACACCCAGAATACAATTACCGAATTCATCATCATACAGGGTCTTTTCAAGCTCAAGCAAGTTGAAAGTCAACACCCCACCAATATGCCCAATGTTCTTGTAAAACAAGATGGTAAATCGGGAGGCATTGCAATGGCGGCGGTGAGAAGAGAAATCTGGATCGACAACGATGTGATACCATTCTTTGCAAACAAGCTTACAAGCTAAGCACGTCTTAATCGGAACTCTGCCCAGAATTTCCCTTAATATGGCAGTAGGGATTCTAGAGAATGGTTGGTACTCTTTGAGTTTCTCCATCTGCCGCTCAAACACAATTAGATTGCTCACTGCGGAAATTGAAAACAAGATTTCAAGGGACTATTCAAAGCCAAAGGGGAAATGCAAAACAAGGTTCCAAGCGATTGGTTGGAACATTCCAATTCAATTATGTTTGAAAAGATTCAAAATTTGGAAGCAAGGAGAAGATTATCAGGGCGTTACTGTGGTAAGGGTAAGGAAGGTTTTGTTTTCCGGAGTAGCTCCAAACTCGAGAAGCAGAGGGAAAGAAAGGTAGAAAGACAAGAGAGATGGAGAGAAGGAGACTAGGGAGAGCCAGAGAGGGAAGGAGAGCCCTGCGGCTGCCGGCTGGGATGGGAGAATAAGAGCACTGTACACTGTAAATGGTTATGAAGCTCTGGGCTTCAAACCTTAAGTTTCTTAATTTTTTATTACATATTTTATAAAATTAAATTAATAAAAATTTATTAATTAATTAAATTTAGACGATAATAATTCATTAAATGAAAATAATTAACTTCAATAAAAAAAGAACATTTAATTAAAAAATTAAATTAATTAAAAACTTAAAACAAATTATATTTAGCTTTGATCTCGTTATGTCTTCTCTCAAAAGCAAATTATATTCGTTTGGTCGTTTGACTCGAAACCGGACAAAGGAACATCAAAAATGAAGAGATTCATGTTAAAAAAGATAAAAAAAAATTGAATTTTTTTAATTTGAAGAAAATAGAAGAAAAGATTTTGTGGGTGTTTAATTTTTAAAAAAAATTGAAGAAGAAAGATTTTGTTTGTGAGTTTTATTTTTAAAAATAAAAAATTGAAGAGAAATATTTTGTGGGTGTTTAGAGGAAGAGTTTTTTTTTTAATTTGAAGAAAATAGGGCAAAACGCTCGTTATAAGTTTGACACAATGCAAATAACGCTCGGATAAAGCCCCAGGGGGGCGGTGTTTAACGTCCTTGGGGCGTTAAAAATGCAATGACGCCATTGGGCTTTACATGCATTACCACTTCCCTAAGGGCATTAGAAATACACATGAAAATTCAAATTTGGGTTATTTTTTATATTTTAAATACACATCTTTTAAAATTAAATTAATAAAATTTAAATATTTAATTATTTAAAAGAATTAAAACAAGAATAGTTCCTTAAAAATATATTCATTATAAAAAATTACATTCATTAAATAAAAAAATTACATTCACTAAATAAAAAAATTACATTCATTAAATAAAACATTACATTAATTAAATAAAGAAATTACATTCATGAAAAAAAATAAAATACCTGAATAATAATTTTTTAAAAAAAGATGATAGATAAAGAGAAATTTGTATTTGTGTTGAATTTTAAAAAAAAATTAATTTAATTTATAGAGAAGAAAAGAGGAAAAAATAGGGAGAAAAAAGAAGGATGAAGGCATTATAACGCCTTCAAATTGCGTCAAAAAATTGACGCATGAGTTCTAACGCACCTATAACGGGGGAGGGGGAGTATTTAACGCTCCCCAGGCGGCTAATATCGCCGCTAGGTGTTACAGTTATTACCACTGGTCAAATTCAGCTTCCCATTCGCGAAGCATCGCTGTCCGCCCTGTTTGATTCCCTCGCTGCTATGCTCAATCGAAGAACAGTGCTTCGTTCTCCCTCCTCACGTCCAGCGTCAATCGAAGAAGAAGAGGTAGCCTATACAGTCTTCGTTGTCTTAGCTTCAGGTCCCCAATCGAGCCAAAATGGAAGAAAACCTCAGTCATAGGTCTCTGATTCAATTAAGAATGAGCGCTATTTATTATAACTAGTGTTAATCCCGTGCTTCGCACGGGCTCGTGTATATTCTACATTTTTTACATTCTATAATTATAATTTTATTTATTTTAGTTTTCTAATAGTGATATAATATGTGTTAGATGAATATTTTATTTAACTCTAAGATATATATTTTTTCAAATAATATAATTTAAATATAAATGTAAATGCACTAAAGAATCTATAAATATTTTCTTTAAAAGTAGTAAAAGAGAAATGATTTATTATTTTTAAAAATAATATAAATTAAAACTTTATTTTTCAAAACATTCATAAAGTTAAATTTTTTTATAGATATAATTTAATTATGTAAACAAAGTATGTTTTAAACTGGTGGAATATATATTGATATGTTTATTTAAAAACAAAAATTATATGCAAAACTAATGGTCATTATTCAATGAAGTACTAATGAAAATACTTTTCATTAATAAAACATTATAATAAAAAAATATAATATATAATACGGAGTACGAAATATATTTTACAATGATGATATATGTTTGTAAAATTGTAAAAAAATGACATTTTTTATAAAAAGTATCATTATAGTAATATTTTTAATACTAAAATATAATATTTATTGAATGTAATACAATAAAATGCGTTAAAAGATTTTTTTAAATAATTAAATGGACTAATGAAATTATCCATCTCATTAATGAATGCACATGTGGCATGCCACATGTCAACACTCCAAGAAATAAACCTTGCTTTACATATATATATATAGGATTATATATTAAGAGAAGGCGCATTTATTTGTTTAAATACTCATTTGTTTCAATTTAAAGATACTACTCAAATGATTAAATTGCTTATAAATTTAGTAATACATCATAAATTCTTTATTTATAGAGAAAGGAAGTATATATTATTTTATTAAATATTATTTTTCATGTGTGTGTGTGTGTGTGTGTATATATATATATATATATACTCCCTCCGTCCTATAATGATCTTCCCGGTTCGCAAAACGAAGAAAAATCTCAAGTTTTTTCAATCTATTTTATTTTAATATTGGTATAGAAATAAAAAATAAAATATACATATTTAAAAACTACACCAAAAGTTCAACAACACAAGTGGTGACAAAAATATTTTATTTTATCGTTTAGGCCATGAAAAAACACAAATAAATATAAATTCCCGTGAAGTTGGAATAGTGCTCTGGGGAAAATCATTATAGGACGGAGAGAGTATATATATATATATATATATATATATATATATATATATATATACTTTTCAAATATGTGTGAACGACTGGTTGACCACATTAACCACTGGTCCGACCAATGAACTAGTGAACCAGTACCATGACCGGTTCGGTCCATGATTTGGTTCTGAAAACTATGGATCGAACTGACTTGCTTTTTTAAGTTTTTAATCTTTGATTCTTTAATCTTTTCCGTTCTAAATATTTTTCCCAATTACTATTCATACGATCAAAATATAGTCATTTTTTTTACCTATTTTTGTTTGTTATTTGATAAAATAATATAATCTTTTCCAACCTTATTCTGTAAAACTTTTGATGTAATTTTTAAATATATGAATTTAATTTTTTTATTTTGCACCTACAATCAATTTAATTGAATTGAAAATAAAATCAGTCAAATCTCGTAAACAATAACGAATAGAACGCTTAAGGACGGAAGAAGTAGTATAAAGTTAAAATCGAATAGTTATTTAGAACATCGGCATTGGTTAAAACCGTTGAACGACTTGGGTGGCGGAGGAGAAAGAGTTCTCACATAGAGGTTGGGAACATTAGAACGATGTGTGGAATAAAAATGGCCAATAACTTCATGACACGTGGCATTCTTTTTTGGATTACTTTGAATTAATTTGAAAAATTAGGTTGAATTAATTTGAAAAATAATTTAAAATAATTTTGTAATTTGCCTATGCCTATCAAATAATTTGGCACCTCCCTTTCTTTGGATGTCTAAAAAGTAATTCAACACTTCTTCATGGTTGGGGTAAAAGGGCTTATCAAGTGACCAGGCAACATGTGAGTTTTTCTTTAAAAAAAACAATGTTTTCCTCACTAAAATGACAAAGCAGTTTCATCAAATGTTATCCCAAACAAGCTCATATATATACTTCAAAGAAAGCCAGCCAACTCAACTTGTAACATAAATGTTGATTCAGACATGAGAAAGAATACCTAAATCTTACCTAAATCTTCAAAACCGAAAGCATCTCGCATCACACGCCGCAAACGGCGTCATGGAATTAGAAAGCCCATTGAGCTCAAATTGCACTGACTTAGAAACATGGGTTCGCGGATCATATAAATATAATGTACTCCCACTCTTCAAAAGTATCGTTCCGTTATCCATCTGCGCTAGAGGCACGGTCAACGCATGAGTCCCTATGGCAAGTTGCCTCACCCAAGAGTTTCTGACCCCATACTCCTTCATCATCCATACGTCTGGAGACCTGAAGAACGGTCTCAAACACAGGCAAGAGTTGAAAACAAACAATTCTTTCCCACTCCAGACCCTACTGTAGTGGGATTCAACTGGGTTGTTGTTGTTATTGTTCCTATGATGTGCGCGGATGATATTGTCCGGTAATGGGATTTGCAAAAACTCCTCCTTCCCAAAATGAAACGACCATATGCATGTGGGCCCACGCCAGTGACTAGACCCGTTTAGAAAGCACCCGTCACTCAGATGGTTAAAGGGCACATTGCCCACAATCCTCCACTCACCATTACCCAAAGTCTGCACCTTTGCCACCAAGATCTCATACACCGTGTCGTAGAGAAACATGAGAACCTTGAATTGCCCTGTCGCCGGGCAGCGCCCCAGTTCACAATGCTTGATAACACAAGGAGGCTTCTTGAGCTCATGGAGATTTTGGACATTTACACTACGGCGAGTGAGCAAATGGCACACGACGTATTCGTTCGTTACTGTTTCCAAACAAATAGCCCCATCACAGTGAGACCTCAGATACCATGTCCCACGGGGGGTGGCAATGTTTGGTTGAACCCTAATCAGATCACCAACACCCACAACACAATCGCCCGAATCATCCACATCCAAGGCCTTTTTCAGCTCAACCAAGCTGAAAGTCGCCCTCCCACCACTACCACCACCACCTGAGCGATATAACAAGATGGCAAATTCAGAGGCATTAAAACGGCGGTGGAACGAGGTGAATTCTGGACTTTTCACAATACGATACCATTCTTTGCAAACAAGCTTACAAGCTAAACACATCTTAATTGGAACTCGGCCCAGAATTTCCCACGATATGGCAGAAGGGATTTCAGAGAAAGGCCGATACCGCTTGACTTCATTCATCTGTTTTTCAAAGAAACACAGGTAGATTTGATTTAGATTTTTCACCGTGGAGATGTAAAACAAGGTTTGGATGTATTAATTAATCCACCGGCAGTAAATTGAGGTGAAAATTGAGGGAAAATTAATTGGAATTAACTACAGAAGCCAAGAATAACATGATGAAAAGAACCAAACCTTCAAAGAAATCGCTTTTTCCTGTGCAAATGCTTCCTAATATATATCGAGCATCATATTAATTATACGGAGTACATATTAGTAATTGGAAATTGGAATATTTCAATCCAATCACGTTTGAGGAATCACAATTTGGAAGAGAGTCGGATTTCCAATTTCAATTCGGACTCGTTCGGCAAGAGAATTGAAGAACTCAAATTGTGTACAAAAAAACAACAATTCATCAAAATAATAGAGAGAGAGAGAGAGATCACCCTAGATCTGGGCGTTGGCAAATTTTTTAATGTTATCTCTCCTGACCCCCGATGAACCCCAAAGTCATCTGGGAGAGATCTCTCCTTTCAATTGTTTCAATTGAGCCGCTTAAATTTTTGTGGATTTTATGATCAATTTTGTTACTTAAAATTTGGTTAGTGCACTTGGTGAAGTTGCAGGGTGCATAAGTCGAGTTTGAGGTATGAATAAGTATGATAAAAACAATCAGTTTTAAAATCGAAAGACTATAAAATTGGTGTAAAATTACCTTCTGTGTAATATAAAATGCATATATGCATAGTTTTTAAAAATCAGACCGAACCAACCGGTTTGGTCAGTGACCATTTTTTTTGCACAAATGTCCTAAAAATATTTACTAAGGAGGGTTTAGAACACATGACCAACTTGCTCTCGCAATCCACCATCTATGTTGCAATCTCTTTCGTTACATAAAGACATTATTAGTTATATACTCCGTATTTTATACATGTTCTAACAAGACTTTTTTAAATTTTTAAAAATTTTGAATATAAAATGTTGAAACTCTTATTCAAACTCTAAAATATTGATGCAATTATAATATAAACTTCATATTACAAAACTAATAACTTATTTTAATATTTTAAAAAACTGCGTAAGTTATAACACAAAAAATATCACCTCTTATTTATGAGTAATTTTTTATTTTTTAAATACCCATTTGTTTCAATTTAATGCTACTACTCAAATAATTAAATTGCTTATAAATTTAGTAATACATTATAAATTCTTTATTTATAGATAAACGAAGTATTATTTCATTAAATAATATTTTTCATGTGTGTGTGTGTGTATATATTGAATTTTCAAATATGCGTAAACCACTGGTTCAACTACTTGAACCATCGTTCCGACCAGTGAACCAGAAATTTTTTTCACTGAGGGCATTAAGTAAATTAAAGTGAAAAAAAATTTTAAAACAAGAGAAAATTGAGCAGACTTCTTACCATTAAAATTAAATTAAAAACAAGATAAAATTCACTTAAATCTATTTCTTTAGCTAGTGAAGATACAGATGGTCCAGAATCACGTGTTGAGGGGGGATTTTCGTTTAAAAAACTTCGCCATTATCAAAAAATATAAAATAAAATAAACTTTTTTACTAAATCTATGTACAAAAATTAGAACAAATTATTTAAGTATATCAATGGAGGATTAATATCTTTTTAGAGACTAGAGTCATCAATTCATATGTTTTGGGATAATTATAAATTTTAATCAATAATAATCAGCATAATACACAATTTCATTTTATAGAAAATTGAAAAATAAAAAAAAATTATCCAAAAAGTTTCACTAATTACACATGAAAAGGAAAAATATTATTTTAGATCATAAAAAGTTTCACACATTACACATAAAAAGGAAAAAAGTTTCACACATCACACATTATTTAGATCATAATTTAAAAAGGAAAAAAATTATTTGGAAATACCTGGATGCTTGTGCGATTCTACGATTGTGTGATACTCGATCGAACGATTCGAAGCTGTGGGGGACTGGCGGCGACGCGGCGGACGCACGACGGCGGTGCAGCGGGTGCTCCTGTTCTGATTCCACTTCCAGTGTTCGGCACTTTGGCGGTTCAATTGCTCCTGCTTCTCGGTTTCCGCAAACGCCAAGGGGAAAGCAGTAAATTTAGAAATAATTGGGAGGAAGTAAATTTTATTTTTGGGAATTTGGATAATTGGGCCACTTTTGGAATTGGATCTTTAGACTTTAGGTTATTAATTGGTTTGGGCTAAATAATGGACTGGGGGCAGATTTATTTTTTTATTAGGGGCAATTATATATAAAATTTAAAAATATACTCCCTCCGTCCCAAAAAGAATGGGATGATTTAACTTTTTGGGAAATTAAGAGGGAGGATATTTTGGTATTGAATTTCCAAAAATACCCTTGATGTGATGGGTAAAAGTAGGATGTGATGGGTAGATTATTAGGAAAAAGGTATGATGTGATAGGTAGGGTATGAAAAAATAAGGGGTAAAAGTGGTTTTTTAATAGAAATCTAACGAACTTTACGGGACGCAGTTTTTTCTAAACGTAACAAACTTTTTGGGACGGAGTACATATATTAAAAAAATTGATTGGGGGCAGCTCCCCCCATATTCCAAAAGGTTGGATCCGCCCCTGACCGGTTTGGTTCCCGACCTGAAAACCATTCATACATGTATTATCCTATCCTATGTCGGTCTGGTTCCATGGCCGCTGTATTCCGGTGGCCACGGAAGCTACTGCCCCTTACGAAGCTCCGTTCATAAAATTGATGATTCCTACCCCTTCTAACCCACCTAGTAAACTTTTGCCAAGTCCCGACCCAAACTCATCCCACCACCTACATCAATTGCACCTCGTAAGCATAGGTGTAATTGACATAGGTGGGGGGATGAGGGAGGATGAGTTTGTGTCGGGACTTGGCTGGAGGGTTTACCGGGGGGGTTATGAGGGGTAGGAATCATCAATTTTATGAACGGAGCTCCGTAAAGGGGACAGTGGCTTCCGTGGCCACCGGAATGCAGTGGCCATGAAACCGGGCCATGAAACCGGAATGCAGTGGCCATATATATATATATATATATATATATATATATATATATATATATATATATATATATATATATATACATATATATATATTAAATACCTTGTACAACTTGTTTTAGTTTATTACTTTTCAAAAAAATGATTATATAAATTTAATCACATATGCATATTTATTAATTAAATACTTTGTTTCAAAAATTTTATCTTAGTACATAATTTATTTTATTTCAACATATACTCCGTATTTTTTAACAAAGTAAATAGAATAAAATTGGTTTAGTTGAAGAGTGACAACTAACAATTGACAAGTGACATTATGACACATATACATTTTTTAATAATGTACCATTATGTAATTATTAATCCACTTTTTATTAAAATATTTTATTAATTGAAACTATTTTTATTAGTACTTAATTAAATGATCATTAATTTTGTAGAATTTGTTTGTTTTTAAATTAATATATCAATATATATATATATATTTCACCAGTTTGAAATATATTTTGTCACTATTAAAAAACTAAAACAACTAAAATTATATTTATAAAATCTCAAAAATTTAGAGTATATATATGAGTTTTACGAAACACGGAGTTAAGACTAGTGTTTTGTAAACAATAGAGATCTAAGGTCCGTTTGGACTTCTCTTTACCTTCTGACCAAAAAATTCCGCCCCCTTCACCGTTGGCCATCATCATAGCAAAGTAAAATGATTTTGAGAAAATAATTCATATCTAAAACCATTTTTTTCATTTTTCACCTTTCCAAGCCGACCCTTCCACTTAGATCAGAATTAGGTCTTTTTGCGTGAACTATGAATTACTAGTAGATCTTTTTTTAAAAAAATTAACATTTAATTCTCAGTTCATAAAAAAATTTGAGAAAGTTAAATCATTGACTTATAAATATTAAAGTTATAATTATATGAGATGTTAATTAAATAAAACAATAATTTTCAAAATCGGAGTAGTTTATACTCCGTATAAGTCTAATTGAATTAGTTGTATATACTAATAATGTCTAATATTAATTTTATTTAAATAATGGTCACAGTTTATCAAAATTAACTATAAAAAATTAAAAGTGAACAAATACTTATATTTAGAGAGGAAGATAATACATGTTTGTTAGAGCATTTGAGAAGCTATAAAGTACTCCGTATAATCCTAAAAAATTACAGAGTACTACGTAAATATCTAGGGTAGAAGTATATGATGATGCAGTATTTTTCATTACAAAATGGAGGACATATCAAATTAACTTTAGAGCTTCTATATTTGAAGATAACTATTCATCTGATATAAATAAACTAATACTCCATCTGTCCTCAATACATTATTCTATTTTAAGAATCTCATCTTTTAAAAAATATTTATTTATAAATTGGAACATAAATAAATAGAATTTATATATTTAAGAATTATATCAAAAGTTCAACAAACTAAATAGTGATATGATTATTTTAATTAATGATTTAATAAAAATGTATTTTGAGAATCTAATTAAAATAATAGGGAGGCTTAAAATAACTAGAACTTAGTTTAACTTTTTGGCAATTTTTTTTGCCATGATTATTTTATGAAAATCTTAATACATGGTGGACTTTGTGAAATAAAATACATGTTATATTCGTTTATTTTTGACTTTTGGAACTATTTATTTAATCACTTTGACTCATCAAATTCTCTCAATGTGCAAGCCTAAATATAGTTATGTGTGATCTTGTTTGTTTTGTCTTAACATATAGATTATTAATATATAATTTTTTTAATTCTTTAATATACAAATTAAAAGATAAAATGGATTAAAGAAGTGTATTGGATATTGTCTAAAAATGAAAGTGGCCGTGGACAAATACTCTAAGACGGAGGTAGTATTCAATAACTATATATTTTCTCAAATTAGGCACCAAGTTTAGTCTCCTGACTAATGAGAATTAATTGAAACAATGTCAAAAAGGGATTAATTATATTAAATTCCCAATTAACGTTAAAATTTATACTATTAATACATTTTATATTACACCAGAATATTTTATTTACATGATATTTTTTTAAATAATTTTGAACATTTTAAATTTTTTTACTTTCAAATAAATTATAAGCTCGCAAGGTTCTATTGACAATTGTATCTTGTGTCAATGAATGACACTCACTTATTTCAAATACCTCCGGTGCTTCATTCCTTACCGAAATTGAAGAATCCTACCCC